GTGTGTGTGTGTGTGTGTGTGTGTGTGTGTGTGTGTGTGTGTGTGTGTATGTGTGTGTGTGTGTGCGTGTGTGTGTATATATATATATGTATATGAATGTATGTATATATATATATATACTACACGTTGAAATATGACCATGTGAATTATCTAGCTGCGGGTCGTTCTGTACTAACATATTTGATGTTTACACTAAACATTAGAAAAATATATAAATGATCTGGTTGTAGGTAGTATGCCTATTAACTTACCGCCGCTTTGTTTCCGGTGACGACTGCGCGTATGGCCTGTCTGTTCATAAGCCCCACCAAGCGCTTCTCTAACGACAGGTGAAGGATGGTGGAATATACGACATTAGTTTTAAATCATGTCTATTATATGCGCGTATGCCAGTTTCTTACTGTGCCCCACCAAGCGCTCGTCTGGATACATGCGGCGAATAGTGGAATATACGACAATAGTTTAATATAAAATGCCATGAACTTTTCACTCACGCATACGCTAGTCGTATGTACAGGCGATCTGTCTACTGTTTCACCAGCCGCATCGCTCTTGCCGGTTAGTGAACAATCGTATTTACAACATCAGTTACACCTTACTTTCATTAAGCACAGGGACGTTGTCGATTACGCAGAGAAATGTGGACAATACACAGAGTACTTGCAATGAGAGTAGGATAGGAGCACTATCTCAACACACCCAAAAACCTCGCATATACGAGTGTACGTACACCTTACTTTCGTCAACCGTAAATACGTGTGTGCTTACACCTTACTTTCATTGAGCACAGGGACGTTGTCGACATCGTGATCGTCCATCTCTTCTATCACATCTCCGATAGAGCTGTTGCGTGTGGTGGTGATGACCTGCGGCAGGTAAACATCCTCTGTAGCACACATAGGGCAATTCACGAGAAGGATATAAGAGTGAAGTATGAGTATGAGTATGTAAAGTATGAGTATATAAAGTATGAGTTTGTAAAGTATGAGTACGTAAAATATGAGTATGTATAGTATGAGTATGTAAAGTATGAGTATGTAAAGTATAAGTATGTAAAGTATGAGTATGTAAAATATGAGTATGTGTAAAGTATGAGTACATAAAGTATGAGTTTGTAAAGTATGAGTATTTAAAATATGAATATGTGTAAAGTATGAGTATGTACGGTATGAAGGTTAATAGATAAATATACATATGATAGTAGCATACCATCATTCCAACGGAATCCTTCAAGTAAAATAGATAGATATACTGATGATAGAAGCGTGCCATCTTTCCATCCTAATCCTTTAAGGAAAATAGATATATATAT